GGTGAGGTCACTTCGAGTGACCTGGTGACCTGACCTTGAATGACCTTGGTCTGAAATTTTCACAACATGTGTAGAATTGATGTATGATAAGGTGTACCAAAAACGGCGGCGCTCCGCGCCGCCGTTTTTGAGATATTCGCGAAAAACCACAGGGGGGGGGGTGTTCAAACACCCCCCCCCCCAGCAGAGCGCGGGTTAAAAGTGAATGAGGGATGATGGGATAGACCAACAATAAAACAGCAATCTGGTTAATTGATATGGATGGGTGTCAGAGAGTATATGGGAGAATGGGCGAAACTTCACTAGAACTGAACAATCTGAAGAATTTGGAGACGTAAGGATAAGGGACATGAACCGAAACAACAGCAACAGCTGAAATACCTACCTTCCATTTCCCTCCAACATAAAACGCAAAGCAATATAGGTATAAAGTCTTCAAAGCATCACGTGTGTGAATTACGACATGACGTAATCGATCAAACTCCACCCTGCGCACATCTGTGCTCCACGCCTTCCGTTTCCCGTCTCTCTTCGACACTTCCAGATCGGGAAAGTCGCTACAGCGCCGACCGCAGCGGTGGCTGACCGACTCTCGGCCGCGAAACTCGCGCGGCGCGACTCTGACAAATCTGACGCTGCAAATGACGAGCGGCGGCGCGGCGCCTCTACCGGCGGAGTAACGGTGTGCGTGCGGCTCTGGACGCGTTCCACTGCTGCCGATTGTCGATAACGCCGGCTCGCGGGGCACATCAGCAGCAGCTGTTATCCGTCAGCGTCCTGTGATCCGCCGCCGACCGGTCACGCACCAGATGTTAAAAAACAGCTGTGGTGTGGAAAAATGAGACTACAAATTGAAATCAGAGGACCAAGAGGAAGAGGTGTTATTCATAGCTATCTCATAAATGCAAACTGCCTGTGTGTATTGCATAAAATATCAATCTGATGATCTTGAAAGCCAGCCATATAGTGTTGTTACTGCATTCGTTACTGTAATGTAACTTGTAAATTCGTTACTGCATCGCAGTATATGGTGCTTGCACCAGACACAATCTCTCTCGGATACAAAAAATATTAAACTACGCAGCCAAAGTCATTTTCGGCCGAAAAAAGTACGACCATGTTTCCGATTTGATGTGCCAGTTGCGCTGGCTCAGCGCGGAGAACCTCGTCACCTACCACTCCCTGTGCCTGTTGCACAAAGTGCGGTGTTAGGCCGAGCCGGAGGTGCTGGCACACAGTCTGACCACTGTGGCGGAGGCGCGCGGCGGGAGCGCGGCTGTCAGTACCCGGCAGGACGCGCTCCTGCACGTGCCGCGATCCCGTACAGAGATGGGCAAACGCCGGTTCACCTGCCGAGCGCCGGCTGCCCTCAACTCGCTGCCACCTGATTTGACCCGACTGCCCCCTGGAGCTTTCGGACGTCACTTGCGTACCCATCTGCTCGAGGAGCAAAACACTGTCTAGCCAGCATGACTGTTTATCTGCACGTGTGTTTCCCTTTCATCATCTTTTATAGTTTTTTTTTTTATCACCATCTGTTTTATTGACGACGGGCAGTAATAGCCACATGTGCACGTGGAATGTCCTGAATAAATTGTCTATTGTCTATTGTCTATTGTCTATTGTTGTCCAGACATGACTCGAACCTCTGGTCTTTAGTCACCGATAGGCGATCTTCGGGCTTCGGAAGACGGAGGACGGTCGTCGGTCGGGGGCATCTCCGGTTGCACCCTGTCGCTCACCGATCGACGCTCGGCGAACAGTCTCAAAGAAAGACTGCCAAGGAGTGATGCTGCACTCAGCAGCAAGGTCGTCGCGCCCCAGTTGATCGTGAGTACGCCTCAGCTCCGATGGGTGTGAAAAATCGACCTGACGTGGCCTCACGCTCTTCCTGTCCCCTTCCGACATCGAGGTCACCGATCCATCGGAGCGCTCACGCCGGGCCCGGCCAGGTCAGCCCCGCCGGCTCACCGGTCTCTGCTGGGGGTCGGGGCCAGCGGCGACGCTTCACGCTGTGAACGGTTGTCGCCCGGGTGGGCCGTGTCGGCGTCCGTTGTCATGGTGATAAACAGTCGAGCGCCGCATTCAACTCACGCATGGCATACACGCGCGCACGAGCTATGAAAGACGCGCGTGGTTTGAAACATTTCGCTGGCTTTAGAAAGTTGTCGCGTAACGAAACATTTGTCACATTGGTCAGGGCCTGACAGTTGTGGAGTAAGCTGACATTTGTTACACTGTTGGCGGGATGAATGATCTGGACTCGGGCATGTTACCGGTTACGGCGTTACGCTAGCCCAGTCACGACTGTGACCGTCATAGAGCATGACTAGCAGCCTGCATCGCATGATGCAACCACGAGCATTACACGAGCATATCTCATAAAAGGTAAATTGGAAAGATATGAATGCTTTATTACGATGCATAATGCTTCATATTTCGTTAGGTATAAAAGCAAATCTAATGGATAAAATCGCCATAAAATTGTGCCTAAATGAATACAAATCTTGCATTTTAACCGTACCTATGTCGACTGTCGTCACTTATCCGCAGTTAGGTTTAAACATATAGTCTAAGGCATCGGAAGTGTGTTTCGACCCAGCCAGCCAGCCTATGCTATCGGTAGCAGGAGCCGCGCGGAGTTCCGGCTCAACGTGCAGAATGATTGAGAGCCAATATGCAGCCCCAAACTCTAAGTTGATTTTTTTACCGAAACAGGCAATGAATACCTACTCGGATGTATCGTTAATCGTTTGCTTTAACTTCAGCGCTCATTGCATTTACGATTACAATCCAACAAAACACCGAATCATTCATCAGGCTCGGCAAGAGCTGTTTGTTTCGAAAAGCGCACGGCTCGCATTACCTCAAGCCCATACCCTGAAGCCCAGCTCCCAGCCCCCTGCGGCTAGCGCACGTGCCTCAGCAGCATGCATTAGCCGCGCTACGTGCGTTACGCATGTTTGTGCGTGTTTACTCTGCGGACCCCGCCCCGCCCGCGAGTTACCTAAGTGTGGAACTGTATTTACTCACCCGTCGATTCTAGGGCTCTGATTGGTGACTTTGGTCGGGGGCTGACGCTTATAGCATGACGTCACTCACGTACTCGGCTGGACCAACGGCGCAGCGCAGGCGCGCCGAGCCAGTCCAGAGGCTCTCAAGCTCAATTGTACAGATCCTGTGCATTGAATCGCGAAACTTCGGCGAGTTCGCCTGAGTTTGGAAGCCCCTGCCGGAGAACTGGAGAAGTGCGGTTTATTCGCTGGACAGTGGACAGCTCAGATCGCTCAGATGGCGATTGACGGTGCCAAAAAGATGATAGGGAGAAAGGAGTTCAGCAGTGAATTATGAGCCTGTGCTGTGCATAGCTGAGTAATTAATTGTTAAATGCTTACTGCTTAGGCTTGGAAGAAATGCAGCGTAGTTTAGCCGAACCAGGGGTATTCTTGCCGAGTATGTAAGGCGGAAGGGTCGCAAGTCGTTTGTTTCCATGAATGCACTAATGAAAATGTAAAGTGTAATGATAAGTTGTTAATTCAGTGTGGTTGGGCATCTGCTCAATCTGTTTCTTCTCTGCATAGTGCATTCGCCACTAATTCATTTTAAGAGGCACTGTGCTGCGCCGCCTGTTTATTAGTCCGAAACATCTGAATTCATTCGCTGTAACTTACAACAATACGAATCGTGCAGTCATGCGCTGGGGGTCCGCCAAGTTTGAGTGAGCTGCAGAATGCAGACTGGGCCGCCGAGAATATAACATTCCCGTCTCCCTGGGCGAATGGTGCATTGGAGCTGAAGGAAACTGCTTCAGTTTTTTTTGTGGGTAGGATACCCATGTTTGAAAATTATGTTCGGGAGTGATGCGATGTGCAAAAGGTTTGCTGAATAGAGGGCTGTCGAGAAGATGCAGATTTTCTCATTTGCTAACCGATACAACGCAAAAAGACGCAAATGTTGCACTTTTTCAGGGCTTAAGTCTAATAAAAGATTAGGGACTTCGTGAATCATGCCTTTTGACCGCGACCCAGTTATTTGCCACTGGGTAGGTACTCATTTGTTAACAGAACGTTCTACCACCACTTGCCAGAAACTCAATGAGCAGACAGCAATTGCTTATCCTTAAACGTTTGAGTGCACCTAACAACCTTTAAAAATGACGTCCTCCCTTTCAATGGTTTGCGCGAAGACACATAGCCATAAGCAACCAAGCAATGGCAGAATCCATTGAGCAGCGTGTCAGATGTGCCCCCCAATTCTCAATCCACATAGCATAGCATACACTAAATGTAGGTACACACACCTACACATTAGGTATTTGAAGGACTTGATAGCTGATACACATGAAAGAAACACAAGGCGCTAAAATTAAACGCAATTAACTAGATGCAGCAGAAGTTTGGCGTCCGATGCCTCTTCGCCAAGTTAAGACCATGCCAATCTCGACCAGTCTGCCGCCGCGCCGGCAATAGCCGTGGTGTGACGTCATCCGGCCGGCACGTCGACGTACAGTTCCACACTTAGGTAACTCGCGCCCCGCCCCGCGCGCTGAGGGGCGGGTCACAGCCGTCCGCCTGAGGCGGTTGATGCGCGGCTGACCTGCGAGAAAGTACCGCCGGCTCGCCCACCGCGCCGGCTCCGACTCTAGCCTGCCGCGGTGTGGCGGAGGCCGGGAGCCAGGCCGCCGCCGCCGTCGGGAGGGCGGCAGTCAGTCTGTGCCGGGAGTGCGCCGCGAGAGGTAGTGGGGTGTCGTGGGGTGTGTCGCGGACAGTCAGAGAGCTGTGTTGGGGTGTGAGGCTGGACGGTGGCGGAGGACTGGCCTGAGACAGAGTGGGCAAGTCAGCGGCTGTGGACTGAGAAACAGAGAGACGGTATGGGTCCAGGTCAGGCTGTCGACCTGAGTGGTGTGTGCGCGTGTTGAGTGGGGCGGTTAGGGACTGAGTAAAAGTCCTCTGAGTCGGTGCGAGTCGGACACGAGCGTGATGTGGCTTCTTGGAGTGCGATCCGATTGCTAAGGGCTGACCATCGCATTGGCCAAGGAACTTCAGGTAAGAAGACCCACATGATTGAGCGAGACCGAATGGCATCTAATTATGAATAATTTGTACTACGAATGACATCGTACCAGGCAAAGAGCAAAACAATCATTGTTCTCATTTCAATCACTTATGTTTCATGTCACCCAGTAATTATTCTTATCGATCAAAGCGGATCGGTGGTTCTAGTTAGGCGCCGTCACATGTCTGGTGTTTTGAGGTGTAATTTCTCACTATCCAAAACAATATTGAGTTCGTTAGCAGTGCCGTTGGCTTTTCTTTTGATTGTATGTAAAAGAAAAAAATATTGCTATGCCTGCACTCTTGCTGGATCAAATTTGTTCAGAATAGCTGATGATTGTTGCAACAATAGTCAGCTAACCGGACGTGGAGCAGCTTTCATCAAACCACATGCGCCAAGAGGGTTGTTAATCACTCATGCAGAATAAATCATGCATCATTTATCATGGTCATGAAATGGTGATTGGTTGTGATAACAAATGGCTGCGTGGCCAAAGATACCTAATATGTAAAAATGAGAAAGCCCCAAGCTACCACTTATTTGTTCATAAGTATAGGTAAATCACATGCATGGCTTCTTTTGCTGTTTTGTCAAAAAGTGTCAAAGTTAGCTGTAAATTTATTTTCTCTACCTAACAATAATGTAATGTAACAATAACTTCGACTAGGCTTAGGTGTTTATTCATGTAATTGCTTATCTGTAAGTGATGGTAACAATCAACAAGAGACAAAACTTAATGTTGAGGTTGATGTCATCCAACCTAACCACTTATAAAATAGACTACATGTAGTTGGTGCTTAAACAACGATTTTATTTGATAAAAATCTTGCCTGTACCCAAAGTAAAAGTCGTGCAGTTACTTGAAGTGTAAATGTGTAATATATGGCCAACCTATCTGAAAGAATACATACTCTCCCAAAACCATGGTGTCAATCGACCTGCGGTCCATACGGCTTAGTTTGGACGTCCAGAACAAATCTTTCCCGTCTTCGATTCCATCTAAACGGCCGCCTTATTCCGTGACCTTCAATCACACAATTTCGATGTTTTCAGTTCTGATATTCCAGTCTCACCGTTATGAGGGTCAGTTTTACTGGATTATGAAATTTACCGTCCGGGGCTAAAGCAGTAGGGAAATTACAGCGCGGCGGCCCAGCGTATTATTACCGCTCGTGTGTTCCACCATCAAATGCATTTTTCCCGGGCGCTCTCCGAGATTCCAGGCCGGGAAATGTTACCCAGGGGATAATGAGTTCGGCTTATGATGGATATTGTGAACCGGTGGGGCGTCATTTTGATTCATGACACTGTTTGGACATATAATACAGAGAATAATAATGTGAGATATTGAGACGTATAGGTATCCAAATCAATTTCACGCTGTCAGACGGAGAGGGTTATGGACAGCTTTGATATAGAAAAGTGATGTTTTCCTAAAGACTGCGCTACACGCATTTACCTGAAATGTTAGAAAAGGATGCCTCACTCGCCTACCTTGAGTGCGTATTTTTTTTATCTGCGGAGCGTTTATAACGACTTACCTAGTCAATAGCTGATCTCTCATTAATGATTAATTTACTGCACACATGGCTTCAAGCTTTAATGCGCACGCTGAAAAACACCATCAAGTCTCAACTAAGGCTGAATCACGCACATATATTGTAAATATGTCTTATCTATTTTTCTAGACAATACCGTCTTATAACGATGCACAGCTGATGCTGCCCCAAAAATGAGACATTGTACGACAATGCTGAATTGCTGACCCACATCGATCAGCGTGCGATACTCAGATCACCTTTGTTCTCATCTCGTTTTTCTCATTGACACTGCCTCCTTCTTTCATGCGAATATAGATCAACCGCGCTGCAGCAGTGCATAAAACATAAAAGTCCGGCTATACCTACCGTTCGCTGTCCCATTCTCTTCAGAACGCCGCTCTCTCGGTCCACTTCGAACACATCTACAGTCCATATCGCCCGTTGGAATTCGGAAGGCGCGTTGCCGAACCGCCCACCTGCCGACGGATCGTCCCATTGAGTGCGGGGTAGTCTCGCAATGTCCCTCTCTGTGTAACTATGTGCCTCCGCTGCTCCTGACACCAAGTTCAGACAGCTGGCGATGATTACCCACTGTTCCGTCCTCTGAACGTGCCGCCCAAGTATGTTCCCTGTGCCCTCCGGCGGTCCCCAACAGCCCACCGGTTTCGCCGGTCCCTCCCTCCCCAGCTTCCCGCCCCCCGGCCACCTCCCCCCCTAGACACGCTCCCTTCCCGTTCGGCACGTGCCGGGCGGACGGCGGGCGGCGGTGCATCAAACGGTGGGGAGGGGAGGGAGGCACGTACTGGTCATCCAGGCCGGGTCGGGTTCGGACAGGGGAGGGGGAGAGGATTAATGAGTACCCGCTGACAGCCGATAGCGCGCGCCCCATAAGCACCGGAGTGTAAACAGATCGTTAGGAGGGACACGGGCGGGTCGGGTCACTCTGTCGGGTGCTCTACGAGGGGCGTTCAAAAAGTTCTCGGCCCGACCATGAAGGAGTAGAGAAACGACGTCGACTTATTAGACCAAAAATGTTCATTTAGTCCAATAACCAGCGTTAAGACAAAAACATTTCGCGCAGCGCTTCGCGAGAGGCCCCTGGGTCTCCATAGCCAAGTGGGTTTTGGACGCATCTGGCACGTCCAAGACGGCTGCTTTTGTCTCCTTGCTGTCAGCGAAGTTGCCACTGCTAAGCAATTTCCTTATGTTGGGGAGGAGGTGGCAACCTGAGGGTGCAAGGTACGGATAAAAAAGTGGCTGTGACAACAACTCGAAGCCACAGCTCACTGTTTCGCTGATCGTCACCCTGCTCATGTGTGCTGGTGCGTGGTCCTGGATCAGGCGCACACTTTTAGTCAGCTTCCCTAGTCTCTCCTTGATATATGCTGCTCGCTACTGTTATCGAAAGGAGGTGTAGTATTCATCATTAATTGTGCGCCCCTGTTTTAGAAAGTTGACGAGCAGAGCCCCGCCAGCATCCCAAAATGCAACCACTGTCACCTTGCCGTCTGACTTAAACACGTCGCACACATTTGGTGGCCTTTACTCAGTGTGCTTCCACTTGTGCAACTCGGTCACGCCCTTAAGGTCAACGTGTGACACCCACAATTCCTCCACGGTAACAAGTAGTTAAATGAACTCTTTTGGATCTTCGATATAGGGACCAAAATTTTCGCGTTACGCCTCCTTTCGAGTCTGCCTTTCCTCTGAGTCAGCAAACGGGGGATGCATCTTGCAGAGATCTTAAACATATAAATACGCTGTCGAAGAATGGCTTTGAGGAACCTGATAGACACCTCCGCTCCTGCTGCGTTGTTCCAGACCAGAACATTTGCCATTTTTCACAAAGAAGGGCTTATTTTTCATATTTTCTTGAGTCAATGCTGTTGATGGCTGGCCACTGTGGGGGTGACCATTAATGATCTGTTGACCAAAATTGAACAGAGATGCCCACTTTTTGACGCTACTGTAAGAAAGACAAACATCAACATGTGTTGGCACTAGCTTTTCGTGAATAACGTTTGGTGCATTTTTCTGCAATGCATGAACCAAATAACTGTTCTCTTCTGGGCGTCGCCCATTCTGACCGGGAATGGCAAACTATGTTACGGTTAATTAACAGCCTGAACCAATCACAGGGCAGGTTGGTTAATGGCTACGTAAGTGGAAATCCCAATAACACATCATTGAACACACCGCGTTGCTGGCCGAAATTCCAACTCCTTCATGGTTGGGCCGGGAACTTTTTGAACGCCCCTCGTATGTCTCTGTCACACCTGCGCTTAGTCGGCTGCTCTTCTCGCGGGATTAGGACTGGTCAAGTTTCAGAACCTATCATGTATGAGAAATACAATAGTGGTCAAGTTCACGGAGGACGTTTAAAAACACGTTAAATATCTTGCTTTCTGGTATTTTTTTTTGTCCATGATGCTTTTTAGAAACGCGTGGTGTTCGTAAAATACTCGAACCATAACATATCCCACTTTAACTTTGTAATTATGCAAATTTGCTTATTTTACTCATATCCGCTTTCCCCGGACAGCTGTAACATTCCGTTTTTATACCAGAAACTGCATTCACGTCAGCGTTGTAATATCCTATCAAAAGGACAATGCTGTTGTTTTTCGCATTAAACCAATAACCACACTTATCCGGCTGCATGCATTTGGCATAGGGGACCGGACGGCACCGGCGTTCTGTCGCGGTTACCGGTCACGCTCCGGTCCGGCGGCGGTGGCGGCGCGGCGGTGCGCCACCCGGCGACAGATGCGCCGCATTTGTACCGGCTGTGGCGCCGCGCCGTTACCCGCCACACCGACCGACAGATCGGTCACCGAACATGACAGGCACGCAGCCGCTCTCGGCAGACGACACCACGGGATCTGCAGCTGCGGGAGGCTGCGGCATGAAAACTTAGCTCGAGTTTCTGAGACGTTTCAGGTTTCAGGTCTCTCAAAAACGATTATCCCAGTTTCGTGTAAGCTATTAGCTACTTGGCGACGGGCGCGGGAAAACTCTAACCACTTCACACATAAGCTACCGGATGAAAGTTGAACATTACAATCATCAAGTGACCACTGAATGCACTCACTACGCAAAACTCTCACTCGGAACAACGAGAGTAAAGCGTTGCTTCTGTCTACTTGCCAATACCGACCCACTGCACCGTTGTGCTTCTCGCTCCTACACTGTCTCTCGTCTATTGTTGTCTGCGAGTCGCCATCGAGTACCGGATGACGGCACTTATACCGCCGGCAGCTGGGCCCCTGACGGCGGTCACGGCGCTCCGAAGACAATCGCGGCGCACTGGTGACGACCACGGCTCACCGGGCGCAGGCGCGCGCGACATGTGATAGAAATGGAGCTTCCTCAGACGCCGGATGTTCGTGGTGGAATGGGTAAATGCTACTGTGTCGATTGATCTGATTGGAAAGAGGAGGGTAGGTCTT